TAGTGAGACTAAAAAGGAACTTGGAAGACAAGTATTTTCAGATTGAGGATCTCAGGGAAATTGGAAGGCAGGAAACCAAAGGCTCTCAATAGGTAATGGAGGTATGCAATTTTGAGGCCTTTTAACATCTCTTGTTCTTCCTGGACCTACATCTCCCTGAACTCTGTGTTTCTTTGCTATCTGGCCCGGGGGGGAAACACATACTTCTACAGCCATCTTTTACTTCCCCAAACATTATGAATATAGGCCGTTGGGGATAATAAACTCATCGAGATTTCCATGGTGGCCATGTGTCCTTATGTGCATGTTGTGCCTTAATTCAGGATGACTGGATGTCTAAATGAGATTACACATCTGGGGTTTTAGTAAATCTCTAGTACACTGGCAGCCAGGAGTATGTATCGGCTGAATCCCAGTGTGCCTAGATTATAGTCTCATGCTTGCTTCCCTCTTTGTAGGCTCTGCTTTCCATCCCTCTGATTCAAAATGAAATAGTTACCAAAGAAGAAATTCTTTTAACAGAGCTATAGGGACATAGCAGTAGTGGTATCATGACTGTGGATCCTCATCACCCTGAGGTGACATTTTGTTTCCCTGTGAAAGTCTCTGACTCATGGACTGTCTCAGGAAATAATTTTCCAACTGCTTGGCAGGACAGGAGAGTCAGGTCATGGTAAATGTTGTCTTCCTTGGGATGCTGCAGAGCAGCATGAAGTGAGAGCACAATCTGTTACCAGGGGACTTACTTGAGTCAACAGAGTGGGAGGAGGGAACAGCTTTCATTCTGGGGATTTCTAGAGTTTGCTGTCAGGGGTTCAGACCTGCAACTTGATTAGCGTGTGACCTTTTTATAAGTTATAGAGCCCCTCTATGACTTGGGGGTCAGGAAGAATTTAATATGACACAAAAATGAGGCCACAAAGACTTTAGGCAGGAAGAGGCCTAAGGTTTGGGACCACAGTTACCAAGTCATGGAGTAGCAGACTTGGCAGAATTCTTGTCCTGCTGACAGCAGTCAGACTAAGTAAACAATCACCAACCAGTTGGTTGTGCTGTTCTTATCATATGTAACTGGAATAAGCAAATAAGTATTTTACATTAGCCTCCCTCCTGCTTTTTCTTTGTCCATAAACCCAGACCTCTCAGATCCTACTGGAGCACAGCAAAAACTTATGACTCTTGGACTCTTGGGTGACCAGTCTTACTTTTCTTTTCTTTTTCTGCATTGTTGGGGAGGAACACAGGGCCTTGCCCATGCTGGGCTTGCTTACTACTGAGCAACTCCCCTAGTCCTCCAGCATGTTGTTGGCTTGTGTTTATCATCTTGTCTCTTAGGTTGGCAGGTGTTGCTTTCCTAAAATGGATTAATGCTCAGTGCCCTGACTCCCTGTGTGCAGGACTGTGACCGTCCTGAAGATCTAGCCTGGGATTGAAGTGGTACCTGCTCCTCCAGAGTAGAGGGATGGATAACATTCAGATGTCATGCAGTGCCCAGGGCTGGACAAAATGGCCAGTGCCAGAGTGTCAGTTGGAGGTGGTGAGCTTGAGGCTGCTGGCCTGTGACAGGAGTGTGGGTTCTCTTCCTTTACTCTGTGTGGCAAGACAGGACTGGAAGAGGCTTAAAGATTCTTAAAGGAATGCTGCTTGGAGCCCGCTGGTGTGGGAGGCTTATCTTTCCCTAAATATACGCAGAGGAGGACTAGCATTAATGGTAGTTGAGTGTCATTTTGCTAAGGGCAAAGGTAAATGCATATATTTGCATGGGAGATGTGGGAGTTAATGCTCTCAATAAAAGCCTTGTATGTTTTTTTTTTTAACATAGGTTCTTCTTTAGGCAACTGACAGTTGAAGCTCTTGGAAATTCAAAACAGACATTTCCCTTATCGAAAGGGGTAGTGACTGAACTCAGGAGGACATAGTCCAGGTTTCCAGTAAGAGTATGATTTCTTTGCCTGGCCACAGGCTCCCATCTGGGAGTGGGAGTGCCCAGAGCAGAGCTGTTAGCCCAGAGAAGCAGGTGGGTGAAGATGGGAATGGGAAGTTTTATCAGTAGCCAGGCTACTGTAGGGAGGGAAGTTGTCAACAGGAGGTCAGGCACATCCTAGAGCCAGGATGTTTATCCATATGTTCTGTAATTACTCATTACAGAATGTATTGTGTATTACAGGATGTATTGTGGGTGGTAGTATAAGAAGAAAAAGAAGGAAGTCTGATTCTTCTGTAGTACTTATAGCTCTGCCCTTGGGTTGGAGAACACATGAGGGCTCTAGTGCTTTTGCTTTCCTAGTCTCTTCTTCCTCTAATGTTTCCTCTGCAGGTGAACAGGCCAGCAGGCAGCTACGATGGGCTCCTGCTCAGAAGATCCCCAGTTCTGCTGGATCTCCAGGCTCCTGGGAGTCATTACTTTCCTCAGTGAGTGGACTAGGCTCTCTGGCAGGGAAGAACAATGGGAATGGCTAGGAGAGCTGGGAACTTTTATTCCTGGGAGGATTGTTACACTGTGTCTTGGAAAAGAAAAAGAGAAAACGACTCTGCTAAAATTTACACATGCAGGGTGTTTGGTAGAGATGTTTGATGAATGGAAAGAAGGATATGTCTTGGTGGTAAGGAGGATGGGGCCTCTGAATTCGGACAGTAGGCAAGAAGGGAATCTTTACCAGGGTGCTGAGGCCTCCTGTGCTGCCCCAGCAGGGAGGGATTGGAGCTGCCAAGGGAGAATGATGGAGGGAGACAAGAAGCCTGTTCCTGGGGCAGAAGAGTGAGGACACAGCTACATAGCTACTCTGGCCTCGAAGGCAGAGAGTCCTTACTGCCTCTACAGCCATACTATTGGGGGGATAGGTCCAATGTAGAACCCTGCTCTTTGAGGTGGAGAAGGCTACACTGGTCAGGTCTTCCTCAGCTTCTTCACTGAACAAGGAGAGTGTTGT